AGAGAGAGAGAGAGAGAGAGAGAGAGAGAATAAGTCATATAGATGATGGTCTGTCAAAGACAACATCAGAACTCCACCGCACGACTGCGAAGAGCATATGACTTCTGCGCGCAAGAGCGAGCGTGCGTGTGTGTCTGTGCGTGTGTGTGTGTGTGTATGTGTGTGTGTGTGTGTGTGTTTGTGTGTATACATGTGTGTTCGTGTATGTGTGTGTGTGTATGTGTGTGTGTGTGTGTGTGTGTGTGTGTGTGTGTGTGTGTGTGTGTGTGTGTGTGTGTGTGTATGATACATACATGTGTGTGAGTTAGTGATTTTGTATGTGTGTGTTTGTTTGTGTGTGCAATTCTCTATAACAAAAAATATACATATGTATATATAAATACACATGTACGTTGTATGATACAGGTAACATGTAGATCTACACAATGTATTCAGAGACCGAAATATCAACACTTCCTCCCCCCCCTGCGCTTTTTTTCTACCTTTTTTACCAAGCATTATATCATAATTCGCTTTTTAGAAATAAGCCAATACTTTGTTTAGAATCTGCCCGCACCCCCTTCTTCCTCCTCCGAAAACAAAAAAAAACGAAGAAGAAAAAGACAAAAGAACTAATTGAATAATAGAAAGTAGAAAGCTAATCCCTCATTCTTAATACATCGCAGTGAAAACTGTGTTCTAAATGGTGCAAATCAGGCGTAAAACACCTACATGTACATTGCACAAAAACAATACACGACTTATAAAAAAAGAAAATGGCCAATCAAGCACAATAATGAAACCCGTTTTCCCTTCTGTGATGTTATTGCAACCTGTTCTAATTATCCGAATGTGTGTGCCACCACCATTCTTTGGATACGTCCACAGAAAGTGAGTCTGCGATTTGCAAGCTGTGGCCGGTGGAATCAGAGCTCTTCAGACGGGCGTAGGGGAAGCTTAGCTACTTGTATTGTGTTGTCCCCCTCATCCACTCTCGCTCACGCGCACATCACACGTGCACCAGCGTGGCCAATCGTGGTGCACTGTGCGCGGGTGTATCAAATCGCGTGTGACGCACGTGTGGATCCTGCATGTCCCTCACTCGCCTCCCGCTGACGTCATAGTGCACGCATGCGTGTTTGTTTGTTTATCATTAACGACTGACTTTGCTGCCCAAGTGACTTATTATTTTCCTAGTCTTTGGCTTTGTTTTCTAACGACCACAGACCCACATCAGGCTGTATTTTTTTTTAAAATTTGGGGGGGGGGGGGAGTAACTGCCACGTAAGCCTAACAGCTGATACATGTGTCAATAACACATTGGGGTGAAAACAATAACAAATAAATAAACAAATATTGTATTCTTGTCATCCTACGGAATTAGCTTAGTTTGTCTAATCTATTTTATTGTTATTCTATTCCATTTCTTCTCCTAGAGAAAAATATGAAAGAAAAAGAAGAGGTGTCGAGCTCACATAGGGGTAATCCCATCAAGTGACATGTGCCAATTTACATGTATTAAGAGCGTTGAACGAACATCCGTGGTTGCTCTGTGGGTTGAGAACTTGGCTAACATTATGTGGTGGTGTGAAAGGCCAACTGAGTTTCTGTCTGAGTACAATAATAGACCTACTGTACGAACGTTGAAGGAACCAGGAACCAGCCGTGGTGGTTCAATGGGTTGAGAATTAGCCAAACATGTTTTGAATGTAGAGTAGATGTAGATCTAGTCCTGCTGGGGTTCTGTTTTGAGTACTCTCTGAACGTTGAAGGAACCAGCCTTTGGCTGCTCAGTATGTTGAGGACTTGGCAAACACGCGAAGATATTAGATTTACAGCGCTATTCTGAGAACTGTTCGCTCTCTTCTCTACCCCCATGAATGTTTTCTAAAATTAAAATGACCCAAATCTCAGTCTGGCACTGAATCCACACCGATGGATGGCTCAGACGATTACGTTACTTCACAATAACATCTCTGTTTCGACAGGCAAATCAATTCCGAGTGAACCCCACCAGTCAAGGGAAAACATACAGTGTTGTGGTTTGTTAGGCGCACACCCTCTGGCATTCTCATTTTACTCCGTTTCTACTCTAAATGTTATTTCATTGGCGGTAAGGTGTAAAGAATGGGATACATGAAGACGCTTTCCTTCTTTTTAAAATGCGCATAAGTGTTTTAAGCCTCCGCCAGTACAACTTAGATCATTTAGAAGGTGAACTTTGACTCTGCCTACCAAGGACCAAGGCCCATTAGAACAGAGAGATGAACAATGCCCCCCCCCCCCATTAAAAAAAAATTAACAGAGAAACAAAAACAAAGGAAACGATCGTGGTAGACCTGCTCTATATACATTCTCCCTGACGGAAGTCGAGCTCAGATCTTTTGTGTGCGACGGCGAAGCACCGACCCACTCCACCACAGACGCCGGCCAAGTTGTGCGTACAGTACTGTACAGGTGGGATATACAGAAAAATCTTTCCTCAGGACATAATATTATATCCGTAATCTTTTTAATGTTTCATAGATAGATTTCTAAACATAAATAATAACTAGCATTTACATGTACCGTATTTCATAGTGTAAACTCCCGCTCAACGGCAAGCTCAGTGCGTTTTACATTGCAGGCCTACATGTGTT